TCGCGAGTTGATGTGCAGATATCCTGCCGCTGATAAATTCCATGTCCTCCCCTGGAAGGGAACGAAGCATACGGTTTCCCACGTCCGTGTGTACAAACGGGTAGTTCAGTCCGGAGCACACCCAATTGGGTATTGTGACGTGCGGTACTTAGACCCGCACTGTTTCCAGTCTATATATTATCGTGCACCATCTCGGAGTACAGCTCATCTGTTTCAAGACACTCAGATAAAGCTCTTTTAGTGCTGATTTTCATCTCGGGTTCTGAAGCTATGTTAAGCGTAGTGGCTAACAGAGCCGTGGACCTTTTGTTACTGTGTATGGCAATGTCATTATCAGCAGTAGAAATAGATTGATTGCGTCTCCTTGCACGTTCCTCGCGGGGTATAGTGACAATAGGACAGCAAATGGGATTGAGAAAGCTAGTGGAAAGACCTCTCTGGTAGTATTGTTGGTTGTGTAGACTTACAGCCAGCGGAGGGGGATAGATACCTGAAACCTATAATACAGAGCGACCGATTAAAATATAGTGAATGGGAGTGCTCCAGGAAGGTGCTTTCAAGGAAGACGTTTTCAGAGAAGGAGCGCTCCTATTCACGTATATCGTAGAAACTACGATTAGTATTGATGAGCGCCTTCCCTCTTGATAGTGTAGATACTAGGTGAAGGGGTGAATGTGAGAATGATAGAGGAAGAAGGAGAGTATTAAGAATACCAGATCAGGGGTGAATAGAAAAGAAAATCTTTTATACAGCGTGGGAAGAAGAAGGTAGCGAAAGGATGTGCGGTCCTTGTTTCAGCACAAAGGTCTACCATCTCTTACCATCCATGATGTGGAGAACTTGAAACTCAGGCATACATGCGTGGTTCTCTCCTGAGTCTAGTGCCACGGCAATACGTACGGTCTGTGGAGTCCGTCCTAGTACTACGCATTTGGCGGGTCATTGAATAATTTTGTCTTCATATCCATCATGACACTAATTACTATAAATGTAACCAACACTATGCAGAAGTATTAATTCTTAAGCAGCATATCGGAACAAGGCACTTTCCATCTACAACTGACCAGTTCTGGTATTTAATAGCTGTTAACATCGAACTGTGTCTTATATCAGTCAGATCAGTCACGCCGGAGGTACCATGATCAACATCGGCTCCCCTGGTGACTGTATTAGCCGAACCGGGTTTGTGAAACACTTTCGGGCGGTATTACTGAATGTATTGTGATGCCCTAATCAATCGGAGATTGAGATGTTCCAATGCAACTGTAACGAGTTTTCTTGAGCAATAGCAAACAGTGGCTGAATGGTCACTGTACATGACCGTAGGAAGCCTAGATGCGTGCCCCAAATGACATATTTTGCACAATACCCATACGAGCCATGACAATGCTAACTTCGTTGGTTAATAATTCTTCTCGGAGGAGGTCAATAACCTGCTGAGGAATAAGACGGTCTAATCGCGGTTCGAGGGGGCGGTTTCGATAAGACTGTATGCTGATAGTCATTCAGGTGGAATACCATGGCCCCATGACCATGCATTGACGCGTCTAAATCAAGGTATAATTGTATATCAGGATCAAAGTGCGCAAGGAACTTAGAACGAACGAATTCGGACTGCAGATTGTCGAATGCCTGTAGTTCCTTAGCTGTCGGTTCGATTTTCGTAGATTCAGACCATTGGCGCTGTTTTATTCCGGATCGGGGACTGCCCTTAAGGAGCATTGTTTTGCATTCCTGAAGCACTTCAGTTTTTTGAGCGTATTGTTCAAGGTAATGGTGGAAGCAACCAGTGAGGCCCAAATAGGTTTCTAAGTCTTTAAGGGTGACCGGGAATGCAAGCTTGTGAACTCTTCGATTTTCTCAAGAGTCGATGATAGACGTAATGTATCAACTCTTTGACCAAATAATTGGACCGATGGAGAGCCTAAGAATGCTTCAGTTGCCCTTAACCGGATCTTCAATGACTGTAGCCTTAGGGATGCACGTTCGAGATGATAGAGATATTCCTCAAAAACGTCTTCGAAGCGATGACAATACCGTCTATATAGGCACGGCAACAGTCCATGAGGTCATTAATATGAGTGTCTATTTGTCTCTGGACATATGGGATTGAGTTAATAAAATCCATGATTGCAACGTTAAGAATTTCCTATCCTCCATGGCTAATTACAGCGAGCCGGTTCCGATATCCGGGTTTCATCGGCCATTGATAAAAGAATTTACATGCGTCAATGATCGAAATAAATAGGCATCCTCTGACTAAATCAATGATCACTTCCTTCACCGGGATAGGGTATAATTTAAAGTTGTACGAGTAGTATAACTGGAGTAGAAAAATACTGAAATGGATGATCTAAAGCGATGAAATCGCTTCTATTCAGCTACTTGACTGCTTTCTCAAGAAAACATAAAACGAGGAAAAAGGACTCCGTAAAAGATGCAACGCATGGGGCTGTAAATAGGCCGGTGAGACTTTCCATTTGTCACTACCGCAGGGAAGAGAAAACTCGACGTCCCTTCAACCCTAAGGTCAACAAGCATGGTAGACGTTTTGCTGTCAAATGTATATTCAAGAAGGAGCGCTAAATGTTAGAAGTTGGGCTATGTAACCTATGCTATAGCATCAAGTGTCCTTGATTAAATGCGAACATCTAGTGATATCAGCTTGTCTTGACCTTGGGATACAATGGAACCATCGACTAGATACTGTTAGATACTGGACGTAACGCAGTCGGAGTTGGGGCCTTACAGTAACGTCCCTAGGCTCAACAAACAATGCTTTCGCCTCAGCAACTAATGTACCTTGGTTCTCTTCAACGCTCACTTCAGCGTTAGTCGACTCCTGTCGCCGGAGCATCTCCTCAGTCGTGAAAGGATTCAGGCACCGAATTTCACCGGCAATCCATGCCTTTCGCCCCTCTTTTTTAACCACCTCACTGCGGTAGATGTACACTCGGTCTGGACTAGACGGGTTTCGGAAACTGATATCAAGATTTGCCGTCATGCCTATACGACTGCTGAAGACATTCGAAGCACACCGTGCGAAGGCATCGTCAAATAATGTAAACAAGAGGCCCCCATGAACGAATCCCGGATGACCACAGAGATTACTCCCTACGTAACACATGCCGATCAGGTGACATGTTTCGTCTGATTTAACAAAGAAATATGGGTCGGTTGGAATCATGGTCGGCCCAGATAGCGATCCGATGGCCATGTGCACGGAGCTGGCAGTGGGATGCATGGTGCGCGAAGGGCGTGACTCCTCATATGCCGATGATTGTGGCATACCTTTGTCCGATCGCGATAGCGACCGAAGATATCGGACCAGTGGCAGCGATGATATGAGACGATCGGCGTCGTTCGACTCCTCGTGGCCTGAGTCGACCTGGGACGGAGACACCATAGCGGAGAACAAACGTGGTCTGGGCGCAGGTTTACTCGAACTTTGACTGGCTTGCTGAGTTGTGAATGTGCATGCAAACGGTATACGCCGGGAATCAGAGAGGATTGGTGAACTCAGTCGCCGCACCCAGTGGGCATGAGATGATGTCAACGACCTTCGGACTGACATGCCACCCGATATAGGGGCTACAGCGAACATAACGTCTCAGCTCGAGCGTCAGCGCAGTCTCAGATCATCAAGACGGCTATGGTAGAGAATATGCGGCCGAGAGACTGAGGGAGACCGAGTAGGGGAACAGGTGTCCGTGCGCGCTCAGTTCCCTCGGCTACCCACTGGTTTCCTAAAGATTCGTTCTGCTCCACTAACGTGTATGCCAGACGCCTAAAAATACAATAGATCTTGATTCGCCGATGGCCTTCATCTAGTGGGAAATTAGTATTCGGGTGTACGGAGTAACCTAGACTCCGCTCTCAAAGAGTTGAAGTATTCTATGTTGTCAGGTAATGATTCGGCATCGGTCCGCTTCCGAGACCTCGGCTTGTGCTTTGCGAGGGGCGCAGAATCCTTATTTAAAGTTTCAATAGAAGCTGCTATACTTTAGCTATATACCTCGCTTCTTCTTCTTCTTCTTCTTCTTCTTCTTCTTCTTCTTCTTCTTCAATGCCTTTTGTGAAAAGAGAGGTGGAGGGGCGAGGGAGGGAAAGAAATACCCATTTACTGATTTTCAACTTGAAGTGATCCTCTAGCTCATGGAAAATATGAAAATGTTTCTGCATGTAGTCATCCTAGTATCATTGTACGACGGAAAGAGGAGAGGATACTCATACTAGAACCTTAGAGAAAAGCCAGATTGGATAAAAAAGAATCGTTTCTGTGTAATTAATCTATCCTGTCGTGATTCAAGTTCTTTGCTCCGGTTAAAGATATATATCCGACATCAGAATCGACGGCAAACAGATCAGAGGTGAAATCGATGTCTAATGCCCGCAAAGGGGATTCCAAATAAGCCTTTTAGGGCTCAGATACGCGCAAGCGACACTGTAGATGGTCGACCTCGTTTCGCTAAGTTGCAAAATCGACTACAATCTTTCTTAGATGATTTAAAATATGCCTAAGCCAACCCACTCGGTAGTGGAGACAGCGAGGTCACTAGGTATAACAAGCATTGAAAAGAAAGAAGGAAGCAAAAAATATCCGAACATGAGTGTATGGTTTGAAGGCTATTTGGCTTCTATTGCGCGCACATATCCTACTTGTCAGTAGTTTATTACATTGATACACATTCAGCCCTGTGAAATGAGGCTGATCGACCGAGCTGAGCCTTGGCAGGGATAGACAGTCGTATACAGCGTACCCCCTTGCTTCATGTTTCGATGGTGTTAGAGGTTTAAGCCTTGTGAGATCAACAGGGGATTTTCTTTAAATTTCGCCTTGCTCTGGCAACTGTTTTTATCTCTGCAACATATGCGTCGCGTAAGCCATCCTTGTTAACACGGATGTTGCAGTTACCACGATTGATTATAGTGTCTGGGATACGTTATTTCAAAGGCTAAGCAGATCACTGTGTTAATGGTACTTGCTTAATCGTGGTCTTCTTCCTTCTCCCTTCCTGCATTCCACCTAAAATAGTGAATGCTTCTCCTAGATAACAGGCAATTCCAAACGTTTCACCGGCACAAGAAAACTCACCGATGACATCCCTCCGGACCAACCTCGGGCCATTGACCACGACATTCACTTCTCCGGAATCATGTACTGTCGCTGTAGGAGCGTGTCCGACTTGTACAGAAGGATGGCAGGCTCAAACGTGCAGTAATAACGCGTTTAATAGCCAAGGGGTGCAGGATGATGTTGAATGTTGGCCACCTCGCGCCAATCCCAGTCTGACGACAGGAGTAGCCCTCAACGGCTGGGGCTTTTATTCGCCCGGTATACATTGCCCCGCTGGGATGGTGACTGCTTGCTCGGCGACGGGAGGATCAAATAGAGGATTCCAGTTTCAGTACTCGTTGAACGACGGCGAAACTGCCGTAGGCTGTTGTCCAAGGTAAGCTCGCCCAACGCGATCACCGTATCTCACCGAAAAACGCCCAGATGTTGAGTTTAACTGAAATTAACTCTGACAGCGGCTATTCCTGTGGCCATGCTGGCCATGACCAATATCAGACATGTCAGTCCGTTTATGCAACTGGCTCTTTTCCAGTTGTCCAATGCAGGTCCGGCTCGAGCAATGGCTATACGTATCAAACAGTCCCGGCGACTGTCACAGCCACAACATCCAAATCAGTGACGCTAACGCACACAATATCTGCGTACACTGTCAGAGCTCCCATGATCCAGATCAACCATATGGCAACTGACTTGCCGACATCGACATCGACGCCACCCCATCCTACCTCATCGGACTCATCTTCTGGAATAGAAGTTAGCGCCTCCATATCTGCACATTTGTCTCCAGGCGCGAAGGCCGGAATCATTGTAGCAGCCTGCTTAGGCGCTATAGGACTACTCGCGTTCATTGCATGGTTGTGGTATAAGTGTGGGTCACGGAGAGACAAAGCTGCTTCGGCTAAGTCAGAAACTGGTGATTCTCAAGTCCCACCTATTCCAGTCACGAATAATAGCATGTCACAAGAGCCGCAGACAAATAGGCCGAAGTCCGAGTTACCAGCCCACCACAATGTTTCGGAATTGGATGGTTCGCAGATTTCTGGGCATGGGAATACCGCGGGTCCGGGTTGAGTAGTTGGCCTTAAATGCATGTGTACGAATAAGACTAGGCGCTCTGGCACGCCGGTCCAGCTTTCAGGACGGGTCTTCTTTAGGATAGAGTGATTTGCATTTGTAAATAGAGTGCTTCGTTGGCAGCCCGAAGAAAAACCCTGTAATGCGACATTTCACCATCGTGCCGTGCCGTGATTCGGCAATATGTAGAAAGGCAAGCCGAAAGCTAGAACCTCCCAATCTTTCCTCCAATCTAGAAGGGTGCCAAGTGCGACTCAGAGCGATCACCAAATAAGAATAGACACAGAATATGAACTAGGAAGGGTCTCTTTGATCTCGGAACAACACATATTAAATGTTGGCTGCGATTAATTATCGACCTGTAGCCCTGTCCCAACGGTGGGGTGATAAGGGCAGCTACGGAGCCCAACAAAGCAGATCAATACCTGTGCTGGAAGATCCGAATAAATCATTCGCATTGCTCTCGGCCTCCCATTAGTCCCTTGGACTAGCCCTAGCCACAAGGTCTTTGGGCAACAAACCGTCTCCGCACTACTGCAGCTTCCTCATAGATGGTCTGTGCTCAGGAAGCTGTCTTAGTTACCGGAATCGTCTTCCACCAAGCCGGGTCAGTAAAGCAGTCTCCGCTTTACTCCGGTGAATATTATTGGTGGCTAGTAAGTACTAATATCGTATCCGTATCCATGAACGGACTCTACCTCCCTCTACCATGTGTGGGTGGACGGTGGTTAAACTGTTGAAGAGACTCTTATAACCGATTATTGTCCATGTATGCGCGTATTCTGTAGATTGACTATTGGTGTTACCTTCAGAAAATGACTGCATTCAAGTTATATAATCTTGAGTTGGTAGGTGGCGCTTGATGCTAAACTAGAGCGTGCCCGGGGTTTGCTAGCTGCTATGCATATATAATATGTCAATGTAGATATGTAGCCATAGTGCTTTCCTTACCTAATCCCTACCGTCAACGAATGAAAAATGTTGATAGAGAAGACTAGCTTTCTATGAACTATCTGGGAATTTACATGAGCGCGGGATGCGCGAGACATACGGTCATAACTGGTCATAGTATGGGCATGGTTTGACGAGTTTAGAAATAGCTGTCATAGAAAGTGAAACAGTTACCACAATTCGAGCGCTCATGCGAGGGGCGAGAGCATGCACCATGAGATATTGTTTCTCGAATATGCGACAAAGAGGTATAGTCTTGTGTTAGCTAGGCTCTGTAGTAGGCCCCGTCGATGCCATGCATCTGTATCTGTATGCCTTCCATAATTCTCGCATGACAGGCATAATCCGCGGGTCATCGATTAAAGAAACTTCAATATCCCCCACATGGTTCAGATACGAACGAGAGTTTGTGCCATCATCATAGCACATACTTTATGATCTAACACATGAGGCTTGCATCATTCCCTAGTCGAACAAAGGCTGTCAAGGGCGACATGGCCAAGGCAATGCAACGGGTCCCTAATAGCGCCGCACTATGAAAGGAATCAGAGAGTCATAGGAAATTGCACATGACGACCTTGGAGAAAAGGTACGTTCCAGAACCATGGAGATGTTGGTCTAAGCTAGCTGTTTTCGCGTTATGCAGTAACCATGAACCGTTTACTGCAGGTTCTGCAATCCACTAATTGACCAGATTGGGTCTCTTAATAGCCGCGCTTATCGGTGGATTCAGCTGGCCCACATACACCTATGACACGCGTTAACTGCACTCTGGGACACTCGCAGAAAAGAGCAATGCAGTCATTCATTACAAGATCCAGTTCTTATACAGTGCCATTCGTTGCTTGTCCCTTGGATTGTTAATCAGCTGTAGCCCATCAAGGCTAAGCGATTGCTAATCCATGTGTCACCGTATCTTAGCGTCACAGACCACTGTTTTTGTCTCCACCGAACCATCTCCACTGTGGAGGGAGTGTGGGAGCTAGATGCCCGTGCATAGACCCGAGACATCACACTATTAGCTACTATTGTTGGAGAACTTTGGCGGAAAGCGCGCTTCGAACAATTTTGGTAGCAATGTAAGCGTGCGGATCCATGCCGATGAAGCACAGATCCCCAACGCACCAGCGTCAAGAACATGGTAATGAGTTGTTGCAGTGGGTCTGTCACTTTTAGTGTCTACAACCCCGGGCATGCGACCTTATACGTGGCCTGATCCATGGACGGATTCTCGGCCGTGGCCATCTGACCCTGCATTGTGGTTAAACTGATGTGCCACCCCAGTTGAATCAACCTGAATACCAGTAGTAGGTGCTACACGACAGTGTCACATCTAATTGTCAACTGGCTGCTTGGTTCTGTGCAATGAAACGTTAGATATACTTGGTTTTCCGTGTTACAAGCCGCGGGCTATTCCTGTCACTATTGTTCATGAACACCCTCTCAACAAAGGCGAGGCTGCTACATATCGTGACACAGAATGAAGTGTGATCTCCCGTGGCAAATGACAGCACCACACCTGTTCTCAGCAGCAATGTGATGGGTGTACACTCCCTGAGTCATTTGTGCAAGGGGTTTACAGAGACGCCTTGCTGCCAGTGTCTTGGTACTTAACGCCCTCAGCGCGCTTTGCGCAAGCCTTCGAGAATGCGGATCTCCATTATCTGGCCAGAACTGTCTACCGACGATAGAGCTACCTCTTACAAAGCCAGATGACAAAGGTTATACTGTACAATTAGGTCTCCGACATACAGACCCCTGCGCTGCCAAGACATATTCTATCCAATATGAGGGCCGTGTTACAGTCATTATAGGCTATTCCGTTTACCATATGTCGTCGGCGCAGCCTATCAATACGTTTGCGCTGGTCATTGAGGTGCAAATCGGGTGTATTATATTCTACGCTCCGTTGCGAGGTCCATATTTTCCATGTGGTTTGATAGTCCAGGTGATAATTATATCCTTCTATCATTTGCATAATATCGCGTTCGTATGTAACAGCATGCCAATGTGATACGCCCAGTGCCCCCGGCTTTGTTCATGTTGCCATTTTCCTTTTCTTGTCTAATTTGTTTCAATTTCATTCTTTCGTCGGATTTTCTCGCTGATATTTTACCTGATCCGCTATTAGCCGCCGCTGCAAGGACGATACGGCGACATCCAATTCGACCAGGTCGAGTACAATAGAATAGCCGATAAGAACAACTGTCACCCTGCAGATCCTGCGTCCTGCCATTTGATCCACTCCCAACTTCGCGGAATTCCTTGGTCTTGGCTTTCCCAACTGCGTTCCACCATCGTGCGATATACTTCCACCTCTTCAAACGCGGTCTGCTCTTCGATTTGATCAAAGAGCCCGCCGATAAAGTCTTTATGATCGTCCTGTATACTGGCCATGCCGAGAATAAATAGTGGGATGAGCAGAAATGGTGACAGCTCGAGAATGGTGATAGCCGACATCGCCACAACGCCTTGTTCCACCATTGACTGGACTTTCTCATCGCACATACTGTCGGGGTGCAGAATGAGGTAGAGCCAGGTAAAAAGTGCCGATGTGTAAGAATCGTATAGCTCTTGGTATTGTTCACCGGGTAGTGCTTCTGGAGGTTGCCATGTCGCTAGGTCCTGCCATATGCCCACAGCTTCCGTAATTGTCGTAGAGTTATTTACTTTTCCGGTTCTTGAGCGAAAGTGAAGGGACGATATTCGCTTTATAATGGCTAATAGACCGTCATTCATTCCAAATGTAATGTCGCCCTCATCTAATTCGCAGCTTTCGTCGTGCGTGGTTGTTTGAGCATCTATGGCCGTGGTAGAGATCACAAGGGAATCAAATAATTCCAGAATAGTATAATCCATGGTTAGAACTGATGTTCTTTGTCTATTTTAGTCCCAGGGGGCATTCTACAGTTTTTATATATTGGTGTTATCAGTTTTAGCCTAACATTCGAAAAGGCGCCGGAGCCGCAGCGATAATTTCGTCCCTAGCGGTAGGGTTAAAATTGTCTGACTATCTTTTGCCGCGGGAAGGGGCAAAAAAAAAATAAGAATAATAATAAATAAA